ATTTTTATTTTTGCGATTAGTTTTTCAGCTTTTCTTACCTGTGTAATTTGCGTTCGTTTTAGCTGTTGCTTGAGTCTCTTTATTCAGATTTCTATATAAATAAGCCGAAGTCGCACGCAAAATTTATTCCCACGCATTTCAAAAGTCGTGATTTGATTATGGCTTTGAAGAAATATAAAGAGCTGTATTGTTCTTAAAGAGTTGTGCTTAAATGCGATTCGCAATACAAATGAGCACTAAACACAATGAAAGAAAAAGTATTAGCTGCATAGTGAATAGATAGGGAAATCTGAAGAGAGTGAGAGTTCCCAGCCGATATAAATGAAAATAGAGCCAAACCAATCGTTTTGTTGCATAAATGTTGAGGTTATCGATGGCAGAATAATTTGCGAGTGCTCCAGATTTGGAAATCACGTTACCTTTTCATTGGAGAGACTTCGTCGCAGCCCACTGACCCTCTTGCATTTAATTAAAATTCCGACAACCTGCCCGCTGCTACAACAGTCGTTTATATGTGTTTATGTGCCCTAAAGTGCTGTCACCTTAAGTTGCACGCATCATGATTTATACGCTCGCAGCGTCAGCAACGGCGGCACAGAAAAAATTAAATAATAAAAAAGTAAAATCTGTAACACAAAATGCTCGACAGGCTGCCGCATCGGCTGCGCATGCGCAATAAATTTGGTTTTTATGACACCTGACAAAATACGCAGCGGCAGCGGCAGCGGCAGCAGCAACAGCAACAGCAGCCGGCATCTCTAAAGCTGGAGCTGGTGCTGGTGCTGGAGCGGCAGTCAGAGTTGGCTTCATTGGAAAATTGTTTAATGACTAATGGCAGCCGCGAGTGGTCGGTCGCCTTCTGCCGCGTCTTCTGCTTTACTGCCCTGTGTGTCTATTCGAGATTAATTTCATTTACACAACTTCATCGCCTTGCCTCCGCTTGACTTTAACACTTTGTTGCACGTAGCCGCCGTTAATGCGGCTGCTGCGTTTTGGGAGTTAATAAAGCCATAAATTGTCTAAGGCTGTGCATGGACTCCAGTTCCCTGGTAACGCTGTAATACGCAACAGTTGCAGTTGCGTAGTTTTTGTTTTATGACTCTTTTGTGTCTGCCCAATGGTGGCATTCAGTGTTGATTCCATTCTGCAGCATATGGTGCGGATTAGAAACGGAGGTGTGAAGGAAGCAAAGTTGAAATAAAACACTTCACAACTGCAATATAACTACCCAAAACTATGCCGTAATTCGTAATTTGAATAAAAATCAGCCCCCAATTTTTTATCAGTTCTTATGTCCAATTATGTCAGTAAAAAGCGCCTATCTTATACATTTTCCACGTAACAGAATTTGACATTATTTCGAAAAGAAGCTAGAGATCCCATGGCAAATAAATATAAAGGTACATATTAATTACAAACGATTCTACAAATAAATAACAGTACTATACATACTATTATTACACTGCTGAATAAACTTAAATGCAAGTAACTTACTAAACATTTAGCTTATAATAAAAACAAGAGAGAACGCTACAGTCAAGCAAGCCTGATAGTAAAATATAGTTTAAAGAAAAAATAATTCTAATAATTGTTTAATAGTATTGTGAAAGAAAATAGAAATAAATTGAAAATTTTTTATCTTAAAGAAATCACCACAAAAAAATAAATAAATTAATTAAATTAAATAACATACATAATCACTACTAAGTTTGGTTATTCTAGCTCTTATACTTTCAGAGTTCCTTGCGTTCATACAGACAGACGGACGGACGGACAGACGAACATGGCTATATTGAGCGTGATCAATAATATATATACTTTGTGGGGTCTGCCACGCCTCCTTCTGTCTGTTAGATACATTCGCACAAAACTAGTATACCCATCACCCTTTGGGTACAGGGTATAATTAAGGCACTGATTTAAGAATAAAGTTGAAAATCGAAATGCAGGTTTTAATAGCAATATGTGTTTATGTTTATTTATTTAAATTAATTGCATACATTTATATTTCGCTGATTTCTGTCAGTTTAGCAATGTCTTTTCCTTACTTACATATCTAACAGTTTCTCAATGCATTTACCCTTTACGCAATGAAAACGGCATTCCCAGAGAATCTCAAAGAAAGGCGCTGACTTAGGAGTTTCGTTGAAAATCAAACTGTAGATTTTAATCGCAATTTTAATAACATGTAACTGTAATCTATAGATTTGTTTACAATCAAAACTATTTACACTTTAGAGCAATAAAGAAAGCAATTTATGAGAGCTTACAGGAAATTCCATAATTCCACAAGCACGTCGCAAGAAAAACATGTTGTGGCGCCAACTCCCCCTTCTTGTATTTGAATATTGTAAATTTACAAGAACAATTTTAAAAATGTACAACTCAATTGGTGCCTGTGCTGAACTACAGTGAAAACTCTCTTTGCCGGGCACTCACGGTCGGCCACTTTTTGTCCGCCCAAGGGGAGTGTCCACATAAGGGGATACTTACATAAATACTTTATACACCGATCGAATGTTTTAGAGAGTGTCCGGATAAAAGAGGTGTCCATTAAGGGAGTTTTCACTGTATTGACATATTGATTGAAATAGTCATATAAGTATTAATCATACATACTTGATTTTGTAAATACGCAGCTACGAAGTAGAGATTTGATTATTTAAATGCGCGCGCATTTTGTGTCAATGTAGTTCCTTATCGGACGACCTTATTTATTGGAACCGACTTTATAATGATGTACACTCGCCTGGATATGCTCACCACGGATCAAGGTAAGCAAACACATAAGCATGCACACATATCTGTATGAAAAGGTGCTTCAGTTTTTTGTTGTTGTCCAACTATTGGCACAGCTGCTACCTCATCATACTCGTATACGATTATGAAAAAGACGACGCCAACGAACACTGCCTTGTAAATAAAATGATGACAAGCTATAGCGTTCCAAAAAAAAAAAAGAAACGACTCCGTCGTTATGCAAAAAAGGTTCAACATTTTCCACATAAAAGCAACTCTTTGTTGTTGCTGCTATTCAAACAATAATGAAACGAGTTGCGCCCTAAGGGTCGGCCCCGATCCAAACCGTACACTCATATGCATATGGATATTCGAGTGGGTATGTACCGGAATTTGCCTGTGCCCTCGCCTGTGCGCTATACAAATACACCTTGCATTTATTTTTGAGTTACCACTGCGCTCTGTTCGGTATGGTTCGGTAATATCTTCCTTCCGGCTGGAAAAGTGATATACTCAAGTGGTGGGCCAGTTAGGGTGGGTCGGTCGGTTGGTTCGTTGGTTGCTTGTTTGCTGGCCCATTAAATGGGAGTAGTACGGGCATGTGTTGAACTTTTCCGCTACCTGTGTGGTGCGCCTGCAGTGCCTCAAGTTTACGCCTGAAGGCACAAAAAACTCGCGCTGATAGTTGGGCAGTAGCAGCTGCTTCGAGGTCCTTGAAAACGGATATATGAGTACGAGTATGTATATACATATTCCAATTCGCTAGCTGCAACACGTAGCGCACTTAGCTTAGGGTGTCTGTCTTTCTGTCTATTTGTGGTGGAGGGATGACTTTATGGGTGCACCAGTACCTCTAGACTGGTGCTGTACAGGTGTGTTCAAAACATGTGTCGAATTGTGTTTAGAAATAGTTTATTTTGTATCGCATGAAGGGATCCCTCAGTTTTATGCTAGAAACTAGGGCTGGAAAAACTTGGATGTGTTGATGTTTTTGGGAAACAAACATCGATGTATCGAACTTCTACTAATGGCGATTTTTAAAAAGTCTATATTAATGCTTATACATATTGTATTTCATGTTAATTTGTCAACTTATTAAATAGCTTAATGTTATCCTTATGTTATTCTTATCATTCTGCATTCATTCAATATTCTCTCCCCTTTCCAATGAGTTGCATTTTTGCAATCTACATACAATAATATATCCATATAATGAGAATACAAACACACAAACAAGACATAAAACTCCAATGCAATTAGAATCTTTCAAAAACTTCTCCATTTTCAAGCCGTGTCAAATTTGTTCTTATTATTAAATTATGTTTTATATTTTTATTAGCTTTTTAAATGTTTTTCAGTGAAAAAGTAGTAAACTAACGGAAAAAACGTCGATGTTTGAAGTAAATGATAAAATATCGATTTTTGAAATAAATTATAAAATATCGATGTTTGAAATAAATTATAATTTATCGATGTTTGAAATAAATTCTAAAATATCGATGTTACACCGATAAAAGCGACTTTTTAGGGAACATTTGTAAAGAAAGCTCGACAGAATGGTTTTATTTTCGTACTTCTGTTAATTCTGGTTGGAGACATCCTTCTAGTTGTCTAATACGTTCCCAATTTAGAAGAGATTGCGTACTTACAGTTCATTGCTGAGCCATTCAAGTGTTACTTTTGAGCAGTTAACATTCTGCTGGTGTATGTGCCCCCAACTACAACTAGTTGGTCATGCGGCTGCACGATCTAAACGCATGCCTCGGGACCATGGACGTGAGCGCCTAAATTTTAGACCGCTGTCGCACACTTCAATTGAAGTTCAATTCTCTATGCGTAGAGAAGTGTCGCCTTCGCCTGCTTTGATTTTATTGCAAGCACTTAACATAATGAGGGGTCTGATAAAATCACGATTTCCTTGTGGTGCGCGCGCATGCGCACAAAGAAAAAAAAAAAACGGGAACGAAGCCGACGTCTGCGTCGCCAACAGACGACGACGCTTAGACGGCGCATATGTTTCCTGTTGCAGTTGGCGGCCGGATATGTATTCCTTTAAGTGCCCTCCAACTCCAGCGCTTCGAAATCGTGTCTTCGTCTACGCAATCGGTGCACAAAAGTTCAAAGTGCATGGACGCGTTTAATGAATTCCCAATTGAAATCCCCGAGACGTGCAAGTGCAGGCCCATAGCCGACGAAATCAGCATGTGTGCTGCTGACAAAGGACATACCACCTGTTTCCTTGGGCTTTTGTTGGAGTTCTCTTTTTATTTTTCGTCAAAAAGGAAGTTCATTGAACCACAATTCGAAATCAGAACACGCGTGTCGTGCGAGTTTTTATAAATGGTTCGCTTGCAGTTTCAAGATCTTCGTGTAGGCCCTAGAAGATTAAATTGAATGTGCAGTATGGAAGGTAGCTAGTGTTTGTACTTTAAATAGGCATCGAAAAACATATTCGAGCTGTTGTAGCGTTTCTCCCCCGACATAAACGCAAACACATCCCTAATATTGATCCGTTTGTAGTTCGAAACTTGGATTTGCCGTTGTTGTTGTTGTTGCTGCTGATGCTGGTGCTGCTGTTGTGGTCGCTGCTGCCGCTGTACCGGGACGGGGGCCACGGGAATTTCGTTTCGACCAGGACTGTCTGAAGAATTGGGCTTGCGTGGACCCAAGGCCATCATCGCGGTCGTATTGGCCGTCTCCATACCCGGCTGGGGAGCCATAAGGCGAGAGCGAATGCTGCTTGCCCAACGACGTCGGCGATTATAGTTGCCGTCGCCATCTGAAGATGCAGAGTCCCCCATCTCCAAATCATTAAGGAACATCATTGTGGTGCGCATATCCTGTTCCACCTTAACTCGCTTATCATTGGCCAGATGATAGCCGGATCGGTGGTCGCACAGTTCTATAACTCTATCTACCACATACTTCATGTAGGTCTCCAGTCCTGGCAGTAAGAGCTCCACAGCCTCATCTTTCGAAAAATCGGAGCACTCCTCTATGTTGCAGTATTTAAGTATCCTCTTGGCAATGGACGAGCGCTCAAAGTAGGAGGGACGCTGTTTTGGTTTTGTCCCTAATTGCTCAGTCATGTTCATGTCTATTAGCTTGGGTTGTTTCGAAGGTGTTGGGCCGGACAGGGCGGGACTTTTGGATTCAACTTTGGTGGGCACCGGGAAATTTCCAATGATTAAGCTCTGGCCTGCATAGGGCTGCATGGGCACCTGAATTAAAAGGGGTTCATTCTAGAGAAAAGTTATCAAATTAGTTCCACAATATATGTATACTGAAGGAATTAGAAAATGTGTACTAACCGAAGTTGAAACAGTAGATTGCATATTGAAGAAAGTTTGAATGGATATTGCTAAAAAGAAAAGAAGTTAATAATAGCGGGCTAATTACAATTGATATGTTGGTAGAATTTAAGTACAAATGCATTTAAAATGTATATAGCAAACAAATATAAGCTGATGCCTTGAAATTTAAGCAGAGAGAAGAGTATACATAGTCGAGTTATATGCCTGTCCCTGTGTTATATGCACACCTACGAGTAGAAGCAATAGGAAGAAAAACTTGTTCTCTGTTGAGCAGAGAATTTGAAGTAGAGGTGCAGAATTTTGTGTAACTTCGATATTGTGGATAGTATTGCAAAACAAGAAAATACTTGCATCTACATTGTAGGAATGGAGATCCTTCCTTCTGTCTGCTGCATACATTTGCATAAGCCTAACATATAATTCCTAGCCTATGGTATACAAAAGAACAAAAGCAACTTAAAAACTTGCATATATCATGTCTAGAAAATGTGAAAAAATACTCGCAGATTCTGACGGCTTCGATAGGTTATGAGAAGAGGGACGGACTTTGTAAAAAATGTGAAGTCAATTAAGATTAAATGCTTTTCTTCTACTGTCGAGTTAAAGGATTGCCTTTTCTATTCCTTTTCAGTTTCAAGCTCCAATAGCATCTCTTAATACATTTGTGGATAAATAAATAAAATAGAAAAGAGATATGCATTTATAATTTTTCGTTTTTTAAAATACATTTTTACTTCACAACTTAATGAATAAATAGATAAAACTCTAGATGTTTCAACTTATTTCCAAGTCGTGACATAAAACAATGTGGCTTTTGTTTTGTAACAGAAAAGTGCACTTAAGTGTCTGAATAAGCAATTAAAGGGCTTCTGCAGTATTTCCATCCTCTGGCCTTTATCAAGTGCAGAACTAACTTGGCAACTGAAACATATGCCAGCATGATCCTTACCGGTCGAATGCACGATCACTGACCGCAACAAAGGCATCACTTGAACAAGCACTGGCCAGGCACACACACACACACGCACACACATATGAAGCCACACACACTTGTTCCTCTTCAGTGATTCCAACCTGCCCACATCTGCAGCAGCAGGACATGTTATGCAAAGTGCACAGGAATGTTGGGTTGGGTGACTGGCACGAGCGACTAATTATTCAAATTGCATGATGGAATGCTAGACTAGGCACACATACGAGTGCAGATACGAACGGGCGGACGGACAGACAGATAGGCAGACAGGCAGAGAGACAAACTAGGACGACGGTCGGGGTAAGCGGATATTAAACAACGGCGCGCGACTGACGCCCGTCGTCCGCACCACTAGCTTCGGAACTTTGGCGACGATGTCTGCGCATGCGCAGCCTAGCATGTCGTCGTGTCCAGCACATGAGGGTGCTCGGGCGCATACTAAAATACCTGAACACACTGTCCTCTCTGTCCTCTTAGCCACTGACATGTGCCGCACGTTGCCGCCGTAGTTGTTGTTTTGACGTGTTTACCCTGCTAGAAATTTATTAGAAATTCTGCTCAAGGTGCGACGACAGCAGCGGCGACATCGGCGGCAACTTTGTCGCTTATGCTGGTCGCAAGCCTACGGCTTCGGACTGACTAACTACCTCCTGCTCCCGAACAGGTTCATTACGCGTGCAGTGGCACGAGGCGTTGACCTAATTATAGTATTTTTTATTTCCTATAGGCTATGCTCTTCCGCATAGGGGTAGATGCTGGCAGGAGCAGAGGCAATGGAATTGTCACTTCAGTTTTTAATGCAAGGTGCGCAAGGTACAGTCATCATCATTAAGTAGTGACAGCTTAGGGGGGAGAATGAACTCTTCTATGAGTTATTTAAACAGGTACTCTAAGGGATATAGACACACATACAAATATCATAAAGGCGCTACTCTTTAAGATGTATAGATATTAGTTTCAAATGACGTTGAAGCAACTTATGTCTGCGTGATCTAAAATTGTGATTTTTCATTGTCCCTATATACTTAAATATACATATATAATGGCCCAATTTAAGCTATATTTTGTCACTATCTTTTGGATGTAAGAAAAAGCAATTGAGAACGTTTTACCAGCTCCTTTTGTTATTGTCCAATTGCTACAGGTTTTCAATACAAGATTGATAATTAGTCTTCTTAAAAAAAGGAATATTCTAGCTTTCAAGATGCCTTTTTATAATTTTTATATATTGTCCTCCTATGTTGACATACAAGTAATATAAATAAGCATTTTCATTGTGCTGATATTTAAATGGTATTATTTTATTTTTTTGCAACTAACTTTTCATGAAGACTTGACAGAATAGTAAAAAGAATATACATACTTACATATGTATGTATGTTTCTCCAAATTATTCGTTCATTCCTTCTACTAACAGCTTACAGGCTGGGATACAATAAAATATTTTTACGATGCAGAAAAGGAAATAATTTGTGAAATAGTTGGAGTTGGCAACACTATTGTGTGTATAAATGCACCACCACACAAACACATTGTGGTGGTATAATGAAATGTCCATGTCGGTATTTTCCCCCAATTGGTTGTTCTCTCTTTGGCAGTGGTGCTAATAATAATCCTCTGATACGCACCTTGAAATGTTTATTAATGAATTAATTCTTAGTAGCATTCAACAACTAAACTAATTTAATTTTTTTGTACGTCAAAGTTCCAAACACAAATGTTGCGTAACAGTATATCGAACAGAAGTAATCGATAGCTGAAGCTAGCAATAGCGATATTCTGATTTCGGTGTCGCTGTAACTGACTGTGACAACAAATATCAGTGATAAATACCAGAGAATGTAACTGGCAGTGGATATTTGAAATTGAAAGAAGTTTTCAAGTCGCAATGAAAGTAAACTAAATGGAATATTGGTATTTCTGCATACGAAAGTTTCAATTAAAAATATTTTTTTATAAACACCAGTTGCAATAGTGGACATTAAATTTCCTAAGTTGCAGCAATAACTATGTATATTACATTCATAGTTAAAGTGAATTGTTAGTAGAAGCCGGTATAATATTTCAATATCACAAGAATGTATAGTTCTTTACTAAATTTCGCTTGTCTATATCGACATTGCCATATTGATACGCATCTCTGATTTAGTTTTGAAGAATTGCGACAAAACATCGATGCATCGATTTATTTATTTTTCGGTATTTATGTGATTTTATATATTGTGTTATAACTCTTGAGTGTCCAACTAAATTCCATGTGCTTTTAAATTCCCTTTAAAAATAATGTTTCGACGTTTTTGCCTAAACATCGATGATCGTCGGTACATCGCGTTCAAAAAAACATCGGAAATAATCGAGTACTCTATGAAAACATCGACGATGACAAAAAAAGGATGTTATATTACAACCCTACTGCTCTGTAAAATTCTGTCATTGTTGAGCTTTGCGATAAGTCTTAGGTTTAGCGCTCCTGCCAGTGCTGCAAAAACGCCAGTCAGTGTTTGTGCACGCGTGTCGTAATGCGCTGCAATTGTTAAGTGATTCTTTGATTTCAAACGCGTTGTTAATTATTTTGTGAAGTACTGTTTTTTGTCAGGCACTACAATAAAGGCAATTGCAGGCAATTTAAATTAACGACGAATCACAATGTTTTCTTGGTGTGCCGATTGCAAAACACACTCGCACACACACACAGCCAGACGCACAGACACAGACTCACACACATACACAGAGGCATACACAGAAACATACAGAGAGACATACACAGAGACACACACACCCCCAGACACACAGGGCCAAGCACGTGGAGCACAGGCCAATTGGCCATAAAAAAGAAGTAGATATCGTAGCAGTCGCGGAGTCACCCAGCGAGCACATAAAGTAAGGCAACAATTCAACTAAAATGCCAACTAGATAATAAAAACAAAATCGACGTTTCCAGCAGCCGTGCAGCTACAGTGAGGAGGGAAAATGGCATAGTCGGTGTAATCGGAAAACGTTGCAGAGCACTTGGAAGACTGGGGGAAAAATAAAAACAAATATCAAGCGAGCAAGCGGCAAGATAGATAGACAGGCAGGCCGGCAGGCTGGCAGGCAGGCAGGCAACGACCACCCACACATTCGAGCAAGATCATCCTTGCCGCCTGCGCAGTGTCAAATAGGCTGCAACAACAACAACAGCAACAATAAGAGCATTGCGTGGAGCAGGCACACTATATAGACCGACAGTTGTTGGTAAGATAGAGGCTCAGCCATAGGCATACAATATTCCAGCGAATAAATATTATCATATGGAAATTTTCTTTCAGAGCAATTACGAATGCGCCGTGGCAAGTGACCCAGCAAACGTCAAACACAAACGAAGAGTAAAAAGTGCGGCAGGAAATCGAAGTCGTAAGTCGGCGACGTGGCCGTTGACGATGATATAGCACCACAACAACAACATGAACCACAACTACAACAACGATGCGACGAATGCCTGCCCAGGCTTTTGCTCATTCATAGAAGCTGAAGCTGCAGCCCCAACTGCTGTTGCACGTCGCGGGCGTAGAAAGTTTTGTGCAACATGCCACATGCAGCAGCGGCAGGTCGCATACACAATCGCCTCCACGTCGGTGGCGGCAGTCGGCAGGTAACCAGGCTTGCACTATTGCCAGCATACAACAATGCTTCACTTGATAGATACATCAATACTTATTTTCATTAAATATTTTTCGAAGTCAACAGAAATACCAGCATTTTTCACGTGTTAGGAAAATAGTATTTCTGATCAAAATGGGATCAAAAATGGAAGCTCGTAGTCTTTTTATTCATTCTTTAAATCATTCGATGGCATACACGTATAGTATTTCTGATTCTGTGTCATTAACTCAATGCTTCCAACTGTATTTATTCGTGGTGGTTCTCATGTTGGAAATGTTCAGTTCTAAAACAATCTGAAACTTGAAAACCACGCACTATTTCTAATTGTTTTATAATATGATCGAATTTAAAAGATTGTATTGTAATATTTGTGTTCAGCTTTGAATATTCTTGTTTTAAAATCGGTTCAACTTCTCCACTGATTTCATTTGATCAAAACGGCAAAATTTAATTTATAACTTCGAGAATTTTGTTTGAAATGTTTTCATTTCTCTATTTGCTTTGAAAGTCCACATAAAATGTCTTAATTTGGCTGCACATTTATGTTAAGACTAAAAGGGTTATATACTCCATGGGAAACCCCAAAACTGAACTACAATATTTCTATCCACATCCCAACTTTAATTATATTTCCCGATTTCAAAAAGAAAATCAACCTAATATTAAGAAAAATACATTTCTGGCGTTCCGCGTCACAATAAAAATAAAAAACTACAAATTAGTTCGAAAAATTTGCCAACAAATATTTTATATTTCTAGATATTAAGAAATATATATGTACTAATTCTGTTTTTACACGGTTCCAGAAACAAACGTGTAAAAAAATACATTGATCATATGTATAAAAAGTTCAATGGTTCCTTAACTCTAAAGAAATATATAAGAAAATTTTAATTTTCAAACCGTGTAATATCAAAATCGGGTAAAAAAAGATCGTGTAAATACAGAATAAGGTGTATATACATGTATATAGAAATGTTCTTATTGAAATATTCTTTTGAAATTTGAAAACCCTTCAAGTCCCGACTTGCTTAGTTTCTGCTGCTTTGCTTATTTTGGTAAATGGCTTAACGCACTATCTGGTCTAAATTGAAGGTATTTATACGAGGGTTACTGTAAATTTAATAAAAGAGATCACTTCTTGGCTGTATGTTTCGCTCTAGCTGTATTTCCTAAGATTAGACAATAGCGCGCAAAAACAATATCGATTGGGGTTCTATGGATGTGAGCTTGGGTGTACTTGCTTAGTTACCTGTTGAGGGCAGCCGTCTCTGCGTTTTTGGGCGCAGCAGCAAATGAAATTGGCAATTGTGTTGCGCTTATGGAGGCAGCTTCTGTTTGCTGTATGGCTGCCACACACCTTGCAGGCAACCGACAAACGGAAGCATAACATCTATGCATTGTTGTTGCCACTTCTGCAAGACTTTTGCCTTTTTAAGCCATTTTAATATGGACTGCTCGCTGCGCATCTTGTGGGTGTGGCTGATTGGACGAAATGGATGAGCAGCCTGACTTCCTCACTCCTCCTCCTGCCCCTTGCCCCAACGGATGCTGCTGCTGCCGTTGCCGTTGCCATTGCCCCAACTCCTGATGATGATCAATCTTTGTGCTGCGAAACGTTTATTGCAGTCTTCGAGCTGCCGCCCAACGTCGCAACTTCTTGGCTGTTAGCTGAAATGTTGATTATGATGATGATGACGCTGATGGGTTTGATTGCAGCAACAACAACACGGTATTAACTGGCTTCATTGCCCTCGGTGCAGTGCTACTGGTTTTCTTTGAAGTGGGCGTGGACATTTGAAAATCTTTGCTTGATATGATGCTGCTCGGCCCAACCCTCGTGTCGCCTGCGATTTAAATATGAGCGAGGAAGCAATTCATTTGGCTTATGAAAATGCCTCTGACAGCGCCAACTAGCAATGTTTCAATTATCTGCACAACCGCTTAAATGTAGTCTTACATAGACACATAGATATATATGTACTTGTATTTATATACTCGTCTATATAATTAGTGGACAATGCAAGGAGCAGCACCTGCGCAACTCCATAGAGCGGAAGTAAGTTGACACGCTGCAGACAATGCCAGGTAACACCTACAACTACAACTACAACTGCTTGTCGCTGCCACTTCCAATTTATGGCATTGCATTTCCTCTCAGTTCTGTGCTTCCAGGAAGATGCAAGGCGGATGGCATTGTGCATGAAATTACTGACCGGAATTGCTTTGTTTTCAAATTTGCCAACAACAAGTGTTTGCTGCAGACATTCAAAAAGGATTTCAATACACATAAAAAATGAACTACAAGAATTTGAAGTATTGCAGGCTAACGATCTAAACAGATAAGAATTGCCGTGACAGAACAGGTAAACAAGTACAAGAAAAAAAGGAATATGTGTTTGCCAACTATGGAAATAGTTAAGTATTCGTTAGATCACAAGAATGCGTGAATTTGTTCCTTGTCGAACAAATATTGTACAAATGCTTTCAAATTTAGAACATTTGCAATATCAGTTTGTTATCAACAAAGAGACATTTCAATTAATGCCCAATGTCTACTTTTTAATTGTTACTACGTTTTTCTAGTCATATGAATGAGCGGCCAATATTTTAGAACATTTACAATAATTTCACTTAAAAATTATTAATTAATTATTAATTATATTAATTATTATTAGTCTATATTAAATTAGTTTTAAAACTCTCCAAGCATAAATTATTAAAATTTATAGTATTAAAAATATATTTTTCACAGTATATACTTGTATTTAATTAGTTTAAAAACTCTCGAAGCTATCTTTTATAACTAGTTTAAGGGAAATCTTCCTCCATCATTTATTCTTATATTTGTTAAGGTGCTAAACCTGTATGCACGGATACAATGCTTATATTAAATATAGAAAAACAATTTTATTAGAGAAAATCTACGATTGATCCTAGAAACTCGATCATTGAAAGAATTCAGGAGGATGTTTAAAAGCGAAGTCTCCTAGCAGGAGCATATGATTATTGAAAGCCTTCCATTTTTTGGCAGCTATTTTCTCCTTCTTTTTTTCAACGCGACACCAATCCAATGCAAGCCGTTTAAGGCTGACCAACTTCTTCACAGTTAATAGGCATGTAGATCAGTTGGCTCTCATGCTCCCACAGCCCACTTTCCAGTGCTATGATGCGGACAATAATGTTGTCTTGGCGTCGTTATGTGTTGTTATGCTCCTCATTGTTAGCCAGGCCCGGCAGCTCCACAAAAGCGCACATCGTCGTCTGTGCCGGCTCTACAAGTATGTGTATGTGTGCATGTATGTATGTTTGTTTGTATTGTCATTGTCACCAAAGGCACATAACAATTTTCTTTTGCCTTTTTGGCTGGTGCCAGTCCACCCGCTGTGTCGGGCACGCCGAGCACTTTTCCCAGAACTGACACCTTGCCGCTTCACTTGGCTGGCTGCTGGTGTGCATGGAATGTGTGTAAGTGCATGTGTGTGTGTGTGTATTACTTAAGATTTGCTACAGTTTTGTGCGCGCCAAGAAGTCTGCAGCGTCGATGCGAGCCCAGCCGGTGTAATCAGCTCAGCCGAAGACAATCAGTGGCACATTCATCATGGCCTGCCATTGAAACAATTGTTATTTGTATATGCAGGCAGAGATGTGTCCAGGTGTTGCCTTGGAATTTCAATTTGCATAAATTTGGTGCAGATTTGCGTACAATGCCAAAGTAAAAGTGGTGAGGAGAGGGAAGCCAAGGAGCGGCAGCTGAAGATAATGTGGACCCAAGCAGAGAGAGGCTGCCACTTTTGCATAATGATCGATGCACCTTGGCTGGCGTGCGTGTTGATGAGGCAGCGGCTGCAAGGAACACAAAAAGATTTCACTTTAATGAAGATGTTGGCTGAATGCAGCAGAGAAATGTAAACTAAATGCAACACTAATGACTCACAGACCCTTCAAGAAATGCGTTTTCAAAAGCGTTTAAATACAAATGGGCTGCCATAAGTGTAAACTACTTTTCTCCAAAGGTAAATGTAGTTTAATTTGCTTATTTTCACGTTATTGGCAGACTCTATTCCGGTTTCAAAATGGCGTTTTGTTTCCAAAATAATTGTAAACACTTCATTTTTTTTTTTATAGAAGTAGTATTATGAATTTTGGTAAAAATGTATACTTTTAAATATGTATAGATTTAATCGATTGAAGGGAATTATTATTAAGGATCTTTAACAATCCAGTTCTCTTTCTTGTTAACCAATTTTAAACATTTTTTTCTTTTTTGTTTTCCAACTTTTTAGAAATTAGTTTACATGCATTTAACTTTCCAGCAAGAAGTGTATTTTAAAATTGTATCTAAAAGTTGTCAATCTTAGTACTATACAATTGTACTAATTTCAATTCAAAAATGGAGGAAGTTATCAGTTCGTCTGTATGTTTTTTTTTCTTTTACGATTTCCAACTTTTTAGAAATCATTTTACATATTTCATCAAGAAGTGTTTGTATTTAAATGCTTCCAATCTTAATACATTGGTACTAGTTTCAAGCTCTATTTGTTCAATTCCGATACGATTTTAAAAAGTCCTGTAACTTGCCAAAAATTAGTAGCTTTGCGATTCTTCAATATAGAATAATCTACACTAAATAAACTGTTCACACCTACATTCCCAAAAATCTTTAAAGTTTAGTTTTCATCATTTTAAACTCTTTTTCTCTTAACGGATCACTTCATGTTTTCCCCTGTACTGATTTTTCCGATTAACTGTTACTAAAATTTAGAAAATGATGGTCTGACTGACCATGCATTATTAAAAATAAATCAAAGAATAAATGTTTGCCATTGTTTGTCGATTTTGTGATACTATAAATAAATAAATAAACCAGAAGGTATTCATTAATAATAATTAGAGTTTGAATATGGTCATATGAGACTATATACTTAAAACGCAACTTAAAAGCAAAATAAATATTTGATTTATTTATTTAATATATCAACAAATAATGCTGTCAATACAGCTTACTAATTTTAAGTTAT